CCTCAGTGTTTCACAAGGCATGGTCTTTGCATAATCATGGAAGACACAATTCTTTTTATTTGAAGGTAATGCCTATGAGACTGCAGTTTTGGCAGCACTGTTCTTGAGTTCCTTTAAATTGCAATCATGGCAGTGGTAATCAAAGACCAGGACAATGCCAGTCTGCAGCATGCAGGATGGTTTCTAATACATTTGATAATGTGGGGCAGTTAAAAGTTTTTGCCTTATTTCTCTACCACGCTCATCGAGTCCCGTTGGAAAGCAAAACCTTAGTGTTGGTCTTTTGCTGTGCTTGGTTGATGTTTTTATATGAATTATGAAGCATCCTTTGATATCTGGCATTTCCCCTTACGATCCTCTGTTACTTTTTATGAGTACTTGCCCTCTAACTTCAAAAGCAGTTCATCACCTTCCTGCAGACAGTTATTAATAACTGGTTTGGAACTGTTGGGCATTCCTGGGCCTGTTTTATACGAGTTTCTCTCCAAAACCAGTCAGAAAGCGGCCATAATGTGCACAGACCTCAAACTGCCTTTGCTAACATGTGAAGGGTCTCTCTCATCACGTGCCTCTTCGGTTTCTGTCCTATGTAGACTTGTTTCATAGATTTAATGACTAAAAGAAAAGCTGAAGCTAAGAGAGTAATTAAATGTGCCCAGTCCTGAACTGTGCTGTTGCAGTTGTTTCATCCTAAATTGCCTGCAAATTACAGTATGCTGGGGAGAACTATTCCTTGTGTTTAACCCATGCTGGAACAGTGTGGGTTGGACTTCAGCGTTGGAAAGCCCTGATGGTGGCCTCATTAGGGCTGGACCATCCATCTTTCCCGCAGCACGAAATCCACTTCACTGCTTTCATTCGGTGAAGAGGAAGAAAAGTATGTTTTGTGACAGTTCAAAAGGAAAATAATTGGCATGGGGATAGTTAATGTGAGTTGCCATTCCTTAACATCAGAGATTCCACTAAAGTACTAATAATTACTGTTAATATCTTTCAGTGGAAACTTTCAGAGTGAACGAGCGCTGGTTGGAGCAGTATTTAACGGCATGCTGCTGGCATGATAAGAATGCAAATAAGCGTTATTAGCCTAATGATTTTGCTGTCACCATGGCTGTGCAGCAGTAGTGTTGTGAATATGTCATGCAGTACCCGTGAATTTGGAAAGTGTGTCAAAACACAACTTCAATTAGTTTGCTCTAATTATGGCTCTAGAGAGTTCATAACTGTATCACTCCTCATTAAAAGAGATTTTCTTATATGGATTAATACAGCACATAAAGGGATGTTTGAGCGATCTGAAGCAGAGCTGTGCAGAGGGAGGATGCCCACGGTGTGGTGGGAGGTGCAGGGGGTCTGACCCCATCCCATGAGCTCCTGGTGCAGAGCAGGGATGGGAAGCCTCCCAGGCAGGACCAGGCGGCTGTGTTGCAGTATCCTCAGCACATGAACCTGGTAGATGATTCTGGGTACGCTCTTCACTTAAAAACAAAACAACCCAACTGAAAAACCATAGGAACCCTGGTAGGAACCGCACTTGATGCTACACTGGAGATCTGGCCTGAAAACTTTGCTCTGATAAAGATAGAGGAGCAAAGGCAGTCAGAATCTGGAATCTCAGAATGAGCCCTTCAGGATGCCAAATGTCCATGTGCATTTGTAGTCCCAGTGTATTTGTAGTGTCTTAAATACTATCTTTTGGTATTGCCTGAGCATATCCTTGCTTTGCAGAGCAGGGAAGAGATTGTTGTGCTCACAGGTGAGTAGTTGGTGAAGGGTTAAAGTAGTAATTGTTTAAATCTTTTAGGCTTTCCTCCCAGTTCTGTGATAATTTGATGAAGAACTTCACCCTAATTAAATATTCAAATTAGGAATAAGTGTCAATATGGCTTCCCATTGCCTGGAATGATGATTAATTGTATTCAAAACTCTAGTGGCCGCTGTAATCTAACCCAAACCGTTGTTCTTGATTATTTGTGCAACACATTTACCATGTTTTTGTTTTAAAATTTAAACTAGTAATTGATTTGCCATATGCCGCAGAGCTGCACATACTTTCACGATATGTGTTTAGGAACTTGGGGACTTTGTAATTGGGATTTTCTTGCTTTTCAGTGGCAGCCTCTCTGGTTTTTTTGTCTTCTACAATGCAGAATGATTTGGCTTTCACAACACATAAGGAAAATGCATTATGCACTCAACTTAGTTATATTGATCCTGGCCAAAGTTTGCATTAATTTGAAATAAGTTAGACTTTGTTTCCTGGTTTTTCCCTACAATGTCATGCGTTTTAAAACAAAAAGAGGCGAGCTGATCTCCTTCCAGCAGTCGCTGCCCTCCGTCTTGTGGTCTTGCAGCTAAATGTTCTTGGAGAGACCTGGCTCTTCTCGGAGCAGCTCCATGGGAGCGATGAAATGCCCGTTTGTCTTACCTTGGAAATGGAAAGTGGCCATGGATGGGGGGCCCTTGTTTCCAAACACCCTCATAAGCCCATGTTCAGACCCTGGTGCTGGCAGGCCAGTGTTGGCAGCAGCTGAATGGGCAGTTCTGCTTGCAATAGGTTGCAGGAGTGAAAGCAGTGTTACTGCACCCACTCACAGTTACCTCTTAATAGCGATATGTCTGAAGTGGAGAGCAAACAGGATACCCTGTGGAATCAGGCAGCAATAAGTCATCTTCTGCTGCCGTATTCACCAGTGTGTGGTCAGCATCCCTCAGATGGCGAGTGATTCATTTTAATTACATATGTGGAACGTGTGCTCCACTTCAGCATATGGCACTTGTGAACCTGGTGCTCATGTGAGCTGCCAGGCATGCTGGTACTGACTGGGGACTTGGTTCACAAAGTCTTTTGGAAGCTAAGGGTTCAGAGCTGGGAAAGCTGCCGCATCATGGAGCTGATGGCTCCTCTGCAGTGCTTCCACATCACCCACCATGAACCCTGCGGAACGGTCCTGTGACTGGAGGGATGCTCATCACCTCCCTCGCAGCCTGTGCTGGCCCAGAGGGAAGAGGGGCAGCCTCACCTGCAGTGGGAGCTGGTGGAAACCTCTAAAATACTCTGCTCAGAAATGTGCCTTTCAAGTGGATCTGCTTTGTTTACTTCCCAAACAATTCCTGCTGTTTTGTTTGGGGTGAAGAAAGTCCCCTGGACGAGCAAGAGAAATTCAAAAGTCTTCCCATTAGCTGTATTGGTGCCTCGGAAAGTATTTTTGGATACTGCTATTAAAAACCAAATGAAAAGCGTGTAATGCCCACAGGCAGTGGTCCTCTGTTTTAAAGTGTGTTCATGACAAACCTGCCTCTGCTCGCAACGAGTCTCATATGGATTGTGTTTTAAACAGCAAACCGTTAGCCAAATTCAGAACTATTTTCACACCATCTTTTTTTGGTTAGAAGGAGCTTTGGGAAGCACAAGCAAATTGAAACTCGTATTTGCTTTCTCTTATTTTATCCGTGCTGTTCACCATCAGTTGCATCGAGGGCTAAAAATACGTGGTTCTTCACAAAATGTGTCCAGGTTGTTAAAGGCAGATAATTTCCAGATGATTTGCTCGATAGATAAAACCTGCTAGCTAAGAATGTGTATTTGATGGAGGATATGCAGGGCCCTGTTTCACAGATACGGTGTGTTGGAGAGGACACAAAGGCCACCTTGTTTTCCTGGCAGGGGAACGATGCTAAGGGCCTTGCTGTGTCCCGTAGCTCTCCTCATGTGAAATGGAATCTGCTGTTCCTTTAGGAAGAGGGAGCATCTTCATTACATATGGCAATGTGGTCCAGAAGATTAATGATAATGTATAAAAATTCACTGGGATCAGCATTAGAAAAGTACATATTTGAATTAAACGGGAAAAGCCCGAATCTCTCATCAAAGCATAGAAATCTGTGGGCTATCAGCAACTGATGACTAGCAAAAAGTCTGCTCTCATGGCAGACTTCTCGCAGCTCCATTGCTGGCTGGGCAGCCACACTGGCTGTACAGGGAGAGCAGGGTGATGGGAGAGGGAGAACTGCGTCCACTGCATTGAGCAGCCTCACTGGTGCTATACCAAGCCCCAGAGCTCCCGAGTACCTGATGAGAGCAGGGCATTGCCTCTGCCCTCCCATCCCACATGGGGGGAAGGTCACCCACCTTATATTCTAGTCTCTGTCCAGGCTTGCTGGGTGTTGTATTTTCCCCTTAATAAGCCCTGAGCCACTGAAAATGGTTTCAGCTTCACTTCCATGAGCTTCATTTTTTTCCTATTTATAGGAAAGTTTAATGGAAGATGTAAAAATATCTCCCTGATGCAGGAATGCTGGGCAGAGCTCTGCTGCAGCCGGGGAGGTGATGAGTGAAGTTTGGCTTCCCTTTCCTCTGGGGCTGGTGTAGGGGAGCTCAGCTCATCACCCCCTGCCTTGGGGAGCATGGGAGCCTGCATCTAGCATTGGGTAGGTCTAGAGCAGGGTTTGGTCATCAAGAGAGTTTCAAAGATCCTATTTACAAATGTACTCAGAAGTTTTTGGCTCTTGATGTTAGTGCTTTCTGCCTTGAAGGAGACTCAGTTGAGTCCTGCAGGGTTTTCAGGCACTCTCTAGGCCTTCTGTTGAGACTTGTGCTTGCAGAGGAGAGGCCATGCAATCTGTCCATGGGTGCCAGCTCACAAGGATCTGCTGTGTCCTGTTGGAGAGTGGATGGCTGCCTCTGTAGTGCTTCGGTTAGTCAGCTGGGTCTGGTGTTTGGTGGGGCAAAGCAGGCTTGTGATGGGGTGTATTCAGTCTTGCTCACAGCTGGACTGATGAGGAGGTAAAGCAGCTCAACCACCACTTGGTTATAATGGCTGTATCGCCATCTCAGTCTCCCCCTGACATTTAGTGCCCACTCCAGGTTTTGGAAGCAGTGTTAAGGGTGATGTTTATTGCTTAACCTGACTGGAATCATTGGGGAAGAGCGAGCTGGCAGCAGCAGCACTTTCTGCTCTGTGATAACATCCTGTCCATTTCCCATCTCTCTCCCTCAGGCATATCTCGCTGACGCTCCCTGCCAGCTTTCGAGGGAAAAGTCACAGCACTCGCCTGGACTTGGAGCACCAGCACTCGAATTTGTACGCCATATCAGGTAAGATGCGCACGCGGTGCTTTCTCTGCTGCTCTGTGGAATCAGGAGTGGCACCCAGTAAAGCAGCCCTGCTTGTACAAACAGCTGGGTGTGTGGTACCCAGGAAACTTACACCCAGCTTTGTCAGTGCTGTTTAAGCATTGAGGGCAGAGGGATCGCAGAATGTGCTCAAACACACGTCACTGGCGCAGCAGACATTACTGACCACTGGGGAGATCACAGCCTTGGGTAGCGATGCTGCTGCCTATGGAGGTGCTCAGTGAGAGCTCTGATGGAAAGCAACACTGATACAAACTTTGCTCCTCATGTTGGTCATGGTCATCACAGGTGAGTCACAAGAGACCACGTCTCTGCCCATTTCACAGGAAGCTTTGTCCTTCCTAGCAAGGATGAGTTTCCTACACAGTCTGCTCTGCTACACTCAATATACTCATTAAAAACAGATGGGATCTTGTTCCCATTTCTATATTCTGAACACTGCACTGCATAGTTTTGTTTCCCTGGTATTAGGGCAAATTTGAACATAGATGTTCAGATTTGAATGGGTGTCTGTATTATTTTTAAGAAGCATGTGCTTGCAGATGCACACTTGGTCTCTAGCTGCAACTTTCTCTCTGTTCACCCTTCCAGGCTAGTACACAAGTGCTAGAGCTAGTGATAGTTTCCAGATGTCAATGTGGAAAATAACTGCCTGCTTTTATTTTTAACTAGTACTAGTCTGCAGGGAAAACGTGTGTTTAAATAGAGTGGTGAGGAACAAGCCCATTCCTTTACCCTTGCAGGTAACTTCTTACTGTGCTTCAGGACTATGCAGTGGGTTCAGTTCGGAGCTGAGGCCTCTAGAGCAGTCCTGCCTCTTGGTGCTGGCTTTCTTGAAGGAGGAGTAAGCTAAAAAGGGAGGTAACCCGATTCCCAAGGCCCAGGAAGGAATGCCTTTGGGAATGAGACAGGGATGCTTTACAGAGATTGTACCTCATGGAGTCTGTCACTGCTGGATGTGCCGAGAACTATGTGGTCTGGAAGCTATTCATAACCCACAGCAAAAGGACTTATGGTTCTGTAAGCTGAAGACAAGTGGTTAGGTGCAGCTGTGGTGCAGCAGCACATTTCACCTGCCTCCTCTCCTGTGGGGCCAGCTCAGAGACTGGGTCTCAGCTGAGCAGCACTGGGGTGCAAGAGTTTTCCTTAGAATTCTTTTTTTTTGGAGTAATATTACACCTGAACAAATAGTGTGCTAGGCAGGGTAGAATCACACTTAGCCACAGTTTTCTCTTTGTTACGTCCTTTTGCAAGAGGAGGAAAATACTGGCTTTAAACCTGACTCTGTGAAAACATCATGAAAGTGCAGTCCCTTCATCTGGCTGAAGGAGATTTTCAGGACAGTTTGGAAACCCAGGAAAAGCAGCAGTGGATTCAGTGGGCTGTACAATAAATAGGCAGTGCTGGTGCATAATCAGGGAAGAGAAGATGGCAAAAATGTGCCATTCACAGGTTCTTGCTATTAATAGTGAGTGACACTTCTAACATGGGAACATGGCATTAATTCATGTACCATAATCAAAGGGTTATTTAAAAGGTAATCTCTGACTGAAACAGCAGCTTCGGGTTCCTAAATAGATGGAATATAACAATTGCATAATTCTTGTCAGTACTCGTTTTTCTTGTTACTCCTCTGCTCTAATAGATTTAGAAATGTAAGAGAAGGCATGTTCTTGTGTTCACATGAGACAGTCCTGCATGGAGGACAGAAAGCATCCAACAGCGAGGCACAGCTCTGCAGGAGTGTTACTGAGGGTGACCCTGCTCTAAGACTACCCATGGGCTGCCTCTGCTTGCAGTGCCGCCTGGGACAATGACCTGGTTTGCAAAGAACCTGAGTACTTAACGAGACAATTATAGGCACAGCACAACTCGGGCCTGCAAAACCAGGCAAGGCATTCGTCCTCCATGTTCATGGTCAGAGTATATAACTCTCTCTTTTTCCACCTCAGCTGCACGTTCTCCGCCAGACACATTACACAAGTTGTTGTGCATACATGAGCCATAATGGCTATTACAGCTGCAAACCGTTTCTGAAGAAAGGGCCTTGTCATATGAAACATCCTGTGCGTTGGCAGGGATCTTCGTGCATAACTCCTGACCGCTGCTGCCTTCTCAGCAGCTGTGATGAGGTGCTGTGACAATCCCCTTTGTGCGCTTCGATGCTGCGGAGGTAGATGAGCCTCCAGGCGCGCTGTGGAAACCATGCCGAAGTTTCCTGTTAGGTGGGGTGTAGTTTGCGGCCGGTCCGTTTTAGCTGTGCCGCAGTGCGAGCGCCTTGCTGCAGTGCCATGGCAACGGGAAATTGATGAACGCGCTTCCACCGGCGGCCCTAATTGCTCTGCCGGGATGCGGTTTGCCACGGTGGGGTCCCAGCTGCAGCGTGCTGCGGGGCCCATGGGGACGATGGGGACGTGTGGAAGGTGAGCAGGCGAGGTGACACAGGGCTGCGATGGGCACAGGACTTCCCTCTGGTCCTGCCTCTTGCTGGACAGGCCTGCGGGCTCCCTCTCTTGGCTCTTAGCAAAATGGAAGGCTTCCTGGAGCAGGGAAACAAAAGCTGTGATGAAGGGTCTCCTGTCTTCCAGTTTTGCAGTCTGATCTCTTGTGGTGAGGATGGGATGGGCTGTTTAGGGAGGGAGGGCTGGGAAGGAGCATAGGGACACCAAAGTTTTTCTCAGTAGTCAGTGAAAGCAACACTTTCCAGCTTGGGTTCAGCCTGTTTATGAAAGGTGAAATAGATACTGGCTGTTGAATCTGTATCTCAAAATGCATTTTAGCAGAAATTGCCATATCCCCACTGGGGCTGTCCTGTTACTCCTTGAGGCATGTAATGCACTTTTATCACCATGCTAGAGTTGAGAAAAAATGATCCTGAAAGTAGTAATTACAATTTTTAACCAGCCTTTTGTCATTTCTAGTCTTGGCAATGAGACATTGGGGTGACCAGAAAGGCAGGGAGACTCCTCTTGGTACAGTGAATTAATGAGTAGCTCTTTGACAGGGTGCATTTAGGAAAGCATTGCCCAGACCTTGCAGTGGGAGCCTGCCACGTGCTGTTGCAGCACTGCCAGCATCATCCTCCTGGCCTGGCAGACTCCCTGCTCCTACCCTGTGCCATGGATCCAAGACCAAAAGGCAGAATTACTTCTAAGCTGATCTGCAGAAGGTCTCTGGGTGATGCGGGGAGCATGGTGCTGAGGAGCTGACAGGTTTAATATGCATGTTCGAACTGGCAGCTGCTGGAAGAAGAATGCCTTGCTCCAGACAGACCTGTCGACAGACACTGCTCAGTATTTCACAGCATAGTCTTTCTTCATGGCCTTCAGCTTAATTAAGATGTTGTTGTGACTGCATACTGCCTTCATTTCAGACTTAAGCATCTTCTGGCTGCATATTGCTTTGGCTTATCGGAGCCACAAGGACAGTGAGAGAGAGAGGGAGCCCTCTCAGGCAGCCACAGATAATAACGTACAGGGAAAAATCCTGAATGAAGTGAAAAATTATTTATAATAATGGTACTCAAATGGAAGGGAAATAAGTCACTCTAAGGGTATATAAATTTTTATGATAGTGTATAAACAGCCATAGCTTGCCTTGTCTCCCATCTATCCCTGCAGAGAATGAGGGCAACATCTAGCATAAAGAAAAATATAATAAGAAAACGAAGAAATGAATGGGAAGAGCTGGAGGATTGATCACTCAGTGTATTTGTATATCCTGATGTAAAAGGTGCTGCTGACAGGTGGCCAGGTTTCTTCCGTATAAAACCATGTGTGTGCTGTCAGGGCGGTGTGAGCAGCCTTGTTTCGATTGATGAATTGCCTGCTTTCTTGATTAAACCTTCCGTCACTTAAGAAACAAAAAGCCTGTGTTTGGATGGCAGAGTGGGACATGTCAAAAAAATCTGTCTGCTTTACCTTTGTGCAGATGTTGGGCACAGACTGTAACATGTATTATTAAAATGAATGTGGCATTTACTGTGCATTATTTCTTTCCTGGGAGAAGGGACCTGTAAATTATATGCTAATAATAAGCTTTAACCCTTTCAGAAACCAAGAGATTTAGGAGTGCAGGTATTCCTGCAGGCCTCACTAATTGGATGGGCTCTAACACCACTGTAGCTCTCTCTGAAGTTAATAAACAGTGTGTTTCAGACCAGTATGCTGATGCCTCTTGGGGATCCTGCCTCCCATAAGTTTTCTGCCATGGAAGTGCCACTGAAACGTAAACCTTTTGAATTACAAAATCTTCCATCAAAAGCCCCCTCCAGATTCTGATTACAGGGGAGATCTGTCTCCTGCCTGGGGCTGAGCAGGACCTCCTCAGCAGGAGGCACAGCCTACACCAGCACCAGCTCTAACCTTTGATTGCACTTCCAGATTCCCTTCAGGCTGCCAGTTTGAGACGTGCTCAACCTGCTCGTCTCAGGAAAAGAGTTAGGGATGGAAAAAAAGGCTTAAATCACCTTGCAGAGCACATAGCAGGATGTGGTGTTTAAAAATGAGGTACTGAGCGTCTCAGCTGTGGTTTCTGGGGACACTCAGGCTGGTCCAAGCTGTGGGCTTTGGTGGCTGAAGTCAGGTGGGCAAAGCCATGGCTTTGTGTGTGACTCTGCACGATGCTGAGCAAGGTTGTCTTGTTTGGGGTTTTTTTCCCCCCTGAAATTTTACTGTAGCCATCTTCAGCATCATATTGCAGATAGACCTGTTTGGTTGTAGCATACAAATTTATGTCATTTAAATATAGGACAGTCAGTACTTGTACCTTCTCTTGACCTGTTGTCAGACTGTCAAGACAGAAATCGCATTGCATGGAGTCTGTCAGATAGTACTGCGCAACCCCATCAGGATGTGTGCACAAAGTAGTTAAAGCCTCTTTGTACCAATTTTCTGCATGAAACAAGTGTATGAACTTCCAGATACTACTACAGCTGTCATCATAGAGCCAGACTGAGCTTC